ATAGACTTGGTAACTAATAAAGATGTATCTAAGGCAGAGTACACTGTTAGTGGTGGACTTCATGGCTAGTACAAACACTGCTGGATGGTGGCCTTGCACTACAGGGGACAGCTGCAGGGTTCTATCCTCTATCAACACCAACATACTGGCTACTATTATCTCTGTGAACAGACCTGACACTGTCACCTTTCTGCATGGACACACTCCTAAAAGCCACCAGGACACCTACGCAGGGAGGGAAAACTAGTCCCTTTAATAAGGTTCTGGATATAACTAAGGAGACCAACAGACAGAGCTGTCAACACTGGGTAGCACTTCATCTACTCACTTGGAGGACCTGTTCCAGACCAGGATGTGCAACTCAAAAGATGAGTTCACCTCCTTCAAACTCAGCATCTTTCCCAGTGACTAGTGATGTGGGCCATAGCCCAGGCTGGAGCTACTGGCCAACACTGGCAGGTGAACCAAAGAAAGGCTCAATGCTCATTCTGGTTTCAGTGGCTTCAGGTCAAACTGCAACTTTTTCTAAAGCGAGAGTAACATGGTAGCTCAAGAGCAGCAAGGAAAGGTGTAATTTGTGACAGGATATGGTACCCTTTGGTTTTGGCCAGAACACCTGCACACTATGGCCTACTGGAAGGGAAAGGTCAGGACAGTGTGAGAAGGAACCCGGAAGAAGGCACAGCTGATGAGTTATGAACATTCTATAATATGTTTAAAATTTCTCCAAATTAGGCCAAAAGGTGGCCCTTAAACAGTGTTATCCCTAAAGTATCTGGGATGCTGGGTTTGTACCAAAGCTGTTCTGCTCCCTTTCCCACTGGAAGTCATATAGGGCTATGGAGAATGGAATAAGGAATGGACCCTAAATACCTGGCTGGGCTCCTGGACTAGTCCAAGCTTTGGGACCTGCGGCAGCATCGCTAGCCTGGATTTCCCTACAAGGCACGGGCTAAAAATAGAGATATTCTGATTGAAACATAACAGGCAGACATAGGAAGCAGATCATGGCTGTCTCCTGACTTGAATAGCTCAAACACTGAACAAATTGTGACTGTTTTGAGACAGGAATCTCACTATGTAACCCAGGTTGGCCTTACACTGATGATCCACTTACATCTGCTTCCGAAGTGCTGGGACTGCAAACACACCATCATGCACAAGCATTTTGAAGATAACTGGGTTAACTTACGCATGTCCTCAGCATTAGGTGATAGCAGGGAACTATCATTTTATACGATAATGAATGTGTAGGCTCATGTAAGAAAGCACCTTGTGCTTCAGAATTCTGTGGAAAGGTGTAATAAGCATGCCAGGCTTCTCTAAAATGCTACAGCTTCCAATCAGAAAGCGCATAAGAGGCCAAGGCAGAAAAACCACAAGTCCAAGGCCTGCCTGGGCAGCTTGCTTAGAACTTACCTCAAAATAAACAGTAAAAAGAAGACTGGGAAAGAGTACTTGCCTGACCTGCAAAGAGCTAGTGTTGCAAACTCAGAAGAGACAGAGTGGGTATGGCCAACTCAGAAGAGACAGAGTGGGTATGGCCAAATGCCAGCAATGTGGGGGGGACTGAATGGGACAGAACAGAGGCGTATTGTACCTCTTTTCTTGCTTTTGTGTATTTAGAACCCCCCAATGCAAGACTTATCTACAGAAAATGAGGTTCCATTAATAGAAATAAAGAAATAACAACACCCATTTTAAAGGAGGCCTACCAGAAGAGGGCTGACAACAGAATTCACTGAGAAGCTCCAAGGGGAGGTGTGATAAACTCCCACTTGGTCGTGTTTTGTCTGCTGGGAACAACCTCTTTCCCTAAGCTTTACCATGACTTAGTCAGCCCAGCCTGGTAGGGTGGGCTCAACCCTGCCCAGATACTAGGGTGGGCTTGCTTAAAAACCAAGTGAGCCCAGGTTCAGTCCCTAGCACTGGATGTGGTGTAGCATGCACGCCTGCAATCCAGGCATTGTAGAGGAAGAGGCAGAAGATCAAGACATCTTTGGCTAGACAGCCTGGAATAGAAGGGTCTCAAAAACCTAACCAACCAACCAGACAAAAATCAAAAGTGACAACTTTGATGCTTCACAGCATTGCCACTAGTTAAGTGAGAATGGAGGAGCAGGGTAGTCTTCAGCAACCACATGAATACTAAGGTTCAAGAACATCATGTTAAAGGTGATATGTATTAGTCCTTCCCCATTGCACGAATCCAAGGTTTACTTTGGGATGACACCCTGGGAGAGAACCAACTGTCTCAAGCAGTTCTGTTCTAAACAGTGTTACACAATATGCATGGAAAGCCGCATCCTTGCCTCTAAGAAAAAGGAGGCCAGAATAAACAATAACAAAACACACAGGAAGCACTGATTGTCTGGACTAATAAAAAGGAAGACTGTAGTTTGCAGGTCTAAGGAAGCTACAAAAATGAAAATACTACTGGGCATAGTCTGTAATTCCAGGATTTGGGAGGTTGAGTCAGGAGAATTGCCATTGAGTTCAAGGCTAGCTTGAGTTATATGAATTCCAGTCAGCCTGGGCTACACAATAAGAACTTGTCACAAAGACCAAAAGGAAAAAAACCAGAATACATTTACCAAGAGCCTCCTTGCTAGAATCTAACAATACATTAAAAAGATGAATGCCCACAATGCCTCAAAGAGCAGTAGTTACTCCATATAGCACAGAGCCAGACTTCTCGAATGAATGGTTAACATTCCCAGAGGAGGCTGGGGGTGTGTCTCAGCCACAAAGCACCTACAGAGCATGTTCAAGGGCCTGGGTTTACATCAGAAAAAATGATTTCCACAGGACATTTTGAGAAGAAAATGAAATGTTCAATGCATATTGCACTGCTAGATAAGATCAGAAAGAACAACCACCACCAAACCAAACAAACAAGACCTGCAGTCACCTAACCTGTGGACCAGGTAAATATAGCCCAGCACTTGTGAGATGCTGGCTCTCATGTCAGTGGCTTATCCTGTTTATACAATGAACATCAGCCAGGATCTTCGGAGAACTCTGGAACATAGTCCTCCATATAGCATCTATAGGGCTACTTTAGCAATTGCTCGCTGGGCCTCTTACTGCTTTGGGCATGAGCCATATCTGCAACAACATCTACTGGAAACAGCTAGGACTGTATATTATAGGCCACCTAGTGGAACCCAACATCACTCCTAGAGAGAGGATTCAAACTCCTGTACATTCTGAGGCATTTGTTATGTTCTCATCAATTTAAACAAACATCTTGCTATGGCAGGCAAAGAAATGACTCTCCTGCACTGGCTTCTATTATGACCTTAAAAGCTACTTGGGGGTTTGGCTCTACTTGGCTACAACCATGTTACCTATTACACCTGCAATTACGATGACCAGAAGGAAGCAAAGCACCTCACACTTCCACAGTGGCTTTTAGACCAATGCCCGTGCAGGCCCACTCGAAATAGAGCATAGCCTTGGTCTCAGGTCAGTAACAGGAGAGTCCAGGGTCAACTCTGCATGCAGAAGTCTAGTCTCCACTGCCCTTCCTGGGGTTAGGATGCTATCAAGGGATTCTGCAGAGATTTCATACACTGTGCTGGCTGCACAAACTAAACAAAACCTACATGTTAACTGATCATGGGAAGCATGGGTCATTTAAAAAGCAGCATTAAGGGGCATAATACACAGTCTACTATGGATGAACGGGAATCTGAACTGCATAATATTTAAAATGTATAGCACCATTTTTTACTTGATTTGAAAGCAAGTGTCAAAAAAGCCAATGTTGCAGAGGCCAATTCATCAGTCACTACAGGGAATGGTCAGAAATGCTCTTCTACTTTAGGGTAGATGTGTAGGTTTTAACATCACTACAGATGAAAGCTCTAATAACCTTGACATTCAAAACAGTATAATCTACCAGTAACTAGAAAAAAAAAAACCCGACCAACTACCATGAACTTATTTGCTTGCTATGTCTGAAGGAAAGGATTAAGAGTTTCTTTATAAAGGAGTTTGGAGGGATCAAGATGGGTTTTTATCTATCTGTTTTCCTGAAGTAGAACTCTTTAAATTGGGCTGAAAACTGAAAGGGACTGTCTCCCCATTTGACTGTGCAAAAGGGTTGCTGAAGAAGAGGTTCACATCCAGTGGTGCCTCAGTCTCAGAGTCCCATGAATCTGAGTCTGTGCTGCTAGAGTCTTCAGCTGTTGTGGGTGGGTAGCTGAGCTGTTCTAACTGGTCAATAATGTCAGAGAACTGGAAGGCAGAGCTGGACTCGGAGCGGACTGAGTAGGCTGGGAAGTTGACCATGGAGCTGGCCTCAGACTGATTGGCTGAGCTAGACGTGTGCAGAGAAAGCCCACCATGCAGTGGCATGTTATTAAGGGAGCTATTATCAGACTGGTTGTTCCTAAGTGAGCTAGTTTCCGAAGGACTCAACAGGCTCTGCATCAGGCTAGCCTGTGCTTTCACCTCAAACAGCTCTGAGGTATCTGAGGGATGTACATTGCCATTGAAGTCACTTCCTTCCCCAAACTCAAAATCATCTTCTACACTCATGTCAACTGCTTCGGTAGAGTATCTATCTGGGCTGGACTGGGCAGACTCTGCATGCTGGAAGGAATCTGGATCACACAAGGCAGGGGACCCAGTGCCCTGGACAGGTAGCAAGGACTCTTGAAGGACTGAAGAACTATATGGGAAAGAAAATGCCTCAGAACCTCCGGCAAAGAAAGAGATGTCTGCTGGGTCATCATCTATGAACTCTTCAGACACCTGCAGCTGTGCATTTGTCAATGTGAAAACAGGGATCCCTCTGAGGCACTGCCGGCCACCCTGGTACTCCCCACTGGGCAAGCAGGAGCCCACAGAAAACTCATCCTCACTACTGTCATTTCTACAAACAGCTTTGAGTCCCCTACTGACCCTCCCTTTGTTTAGGTCTAAAGCATTGAGACTCTGTCCTCTGGAGCAGGCAGAACCATGGTTGTTCACAACACCACAAAACCCGGCACCTGGACCAGGCTGGAGCACAGGGGGTCCAGGGAGATGGGCCGACTGTGTGCTGGGGCCTTCAGATGATGATGCTCTGCTTCTCCTCTCTGCTGCTGTGCTCTTGATGTGGGGAGCCTGGGGATCCACAAGGGAGCTGCTGCTGTCCTTCAGATTGGGCAGACCAGGAGGGGACAAAGAAGAAGTAGGGAGTGGACAAAAGGAGGCATTTGCTGAAGACAGGGAGGCAGAAGTTCTCAAGCCATCGGTGAATGAGATGCTCTGGGGGTCAAAATTAAGAGAAGAAAAGAAAACAGGAACATATAAAATTATAAAGCACTACTGGAAATCGTAAAGCCTTTTGGGAAGTATAAAACTTCCAATATATCCTTACTACTTTTCTTGGGAGGGGTACCTGAGCAGATTTCCTCTTTCTCAAGAGGAATTATATTTGTTTTAAAACAGTCTCATTAAAGTTTCGGCTTGTCTCAGACTCTGAGATTATAGATGTGTACCACCATGTCTGGCTTAAAAATGTACAGTGCTGTAACTTGACCCAAGATAACAACATGATCTTGTTTTCTGCTTATAACACCTTGTAGCCCCCCCCCCCCCCACCAAACTCTTGTGGTGCCAAATGTCATAGTAAAGAAGAGAAGCTCCCATCGAGAATTAGATGACATGCAGATAAGGTATTTGTGGTAGCCTTAGTCATCTTAGGTCTATAAACAGGTATGTTTGGGTCAGCTAAAGGGCCCTCCACAATGGTGGCGACACCAAATGACAAGTACAAGTTGTCCTGGCTCTTGAGAGGTAGAGATTTAATATCAGTATGGACTGGGTACACTTATCAGTCTACTTATGACTGCAATGGAAGATATCACTGATTAGGATGCCTCTTGCTAACATCAGTGGTTCAAGAGCTCTGGGACATTCTGAAAGTGCTAAAGTGTCCCCAAGAATGAGTGAAAAGAGGCTTACAGCAGGGTGAGAAAATACTAAGGGGCAGGGTAGGAACCATACTGTGGCTCCTCATTCAGAGGTTGACTAGACTAAAATACACCCACACAGAACTGAGTATTTCTAGGGCAGTATGTCCACAAGCAATACAGCTAGGTATATACGTATCATAGTAAGGAAAACAAACAAGTGCTATCTCAGGAGGCCCAGTAACTAGCCTTGTAGAAATAAAATAGCTGGTTATGATTTAAAATTGATCTATTTTTTTCAATGGTTATCATATTGTGGTTTTTATTTTGTTTTGTTGAGGCAGTGTCTTCCATGTAGCTTAGGGTGGCTTGAACTCATGAGCCTCCTACCTCAGACCCCCAAGTGTTGAAATTACAGGTGTTATTCACCATGCCTGGGATGTTGCCTGGGATCACTCAACCACATTTCTTTATTTTCTGTGGCTTTTAAAATGAATAAGTAAAAATAAAAGCTTAGATGTAATTTCTAGGCTATCTATCCATAGCCTTCCATACCAGGTGACAATTTTATAGTCCTGGCTCTTGAGAGTTAGAGATTGAGTATCACTAAGGTGTGGATAAAATTCCATTGAAAGCTAAGGACATCCAAGAACTAAGGTATAGGGCCCAAAAGACGCTCTTGGAAACTGTGCTCAATATAAATACTAGACCACCAACAAAAATGAGCAAACACTGCACAGCATGAGCTATAAGCACAAAACTAGAACAGCACAGGTAACAATTACATAATGGTACCTGAGAGCAAGATTCATGCTTGAGCGTGGGAGTTAGTATGCAAATATGAACATGATAAAAGACTGTTCTGCGGCAGTCCTGAAACACAGATTAATCACTTACAGTTTAGCACAGAAGTGTGGAGCAGTGACATCTCATGGGCACATCCCTACCAAATGTTCTTCCATGAGGAACCTGTGCACAATTATGTGCATCTTTGCTCTAATATAACTGAAATCTGGCCAAACACATCCTGCTTTCTAGTTTTAACAGCAAGGATAGTTCCATGCTTTGTCTCCTTTAGCAGTCCTTTAAGAGTGGCACATCAGTCCACCACCTGGAGAGGCTATAGTCACCTGCACAGCTGGTTTCCCTAGCAGACTACATAATGTTATGCATAACGCTATGACTCACAGTGCAGAGCTCATAGCTGTTTCATCACCTGAAGTCAGAAGTGTGTGTCATATCATGTGAACCTTCTTACAACACAGCAGAGGACTTCTAGAAGAATACATCCTGGTAATTAGTACTGTTATGGTTTCCCCTGGAAAAGACTAACCTGTTTAGGAAGATCTGTAGTCAGAGCATGAAAAGACATCCGAGTCTTACTGTGTCGTCTGCAAAACAGAGAATATGCTGTGAGGGTTAGATCTATCTCACCTCCTATCTGCCACCACCCACTTGTGATGCCTGTTCCTAGAACTTCAAGTCTGTATTACATCCATGAAGAAAAGCTCACATAAGAATATGACCAAGAGTCAGGCATGGTGGAGTATGCCTTTAATCTCAGCACTCAGGGAGGCAAAGGCAGGTGGATTTCTGTGAGTCCAAGGCCAGCTTGGTCTACAAAGTGAGTCCAGAATAGCTAAGGCTACACAGAGAAACCCTGTCTCCCACCCCTGAAAAAAGAAAATGACCAAGACATGGTGGCAAGCTAGAAATGGGCAGAATAAAAGGAATCAGTAATTAAAATAAAAAAGAAACCCAAAAGGAATAAGATTATATATGCATACTACTAGAAAAGCTCCACATGCATTTTGTGGTTGCTTACCATGCTATCAAGGTTACTGTTAACTGTCCACCTGACAGGATTTGGAATCACTGAGAAGGACACGCCTGTGAGGGGTAACTTAGCTTATGCCTGTGAGAAATATGCTGCTTATGTTAACCTCCCACTGTGAATGGAGTCATTAGAATGACTTGAGAAGGAGAGTGAGCTGAATACCAGCATCTACCAGCCTGCTTCCTGACTGGATGCAATGTAACCACATACTTTAAGGGCCTGCTGCTTTGACTCTCCCACTATGACTGACTACAACTAGGAAATGCAAACCAAAATAAGCCCTTCCTTCCTCAAGTTGCTTTTGTCCGGTACTTTATCACAGCAACCGAAGAAACTAAGGCACCATGTGAAACCATCACATACAAAATGAGCTATGCAGTTCAGAAACTATAAATTGATACCTGAGTATGAATACAATTACTTCCATGAAGATATTACAAATCCATCTTTAAAAAAAAAACAAAAAGAAACCAGGCAGTGGTGGTGTTGCATGCATGTGGTACCCAGACAGGAGTGCAGGCAAAACACCCATATACATAAAAATGTTTAAATATAATAGATAATTTAAAGGCTCACACTTTGTATCAACACCAGAGTTTACCTTTCATATGGAATTCTCTTCATCCCACCATCTTTGACATAATCTACTAGTTGTTTCTGAGTTCTTCCACTACAAATAAAGGCTCAGTTAAAATAAAGCAGTAATTCACAGCATTACCTTTTTAGAGTTAAGAACAGAAGTAAGACTGCCCATCCTCTCCCAGAAACACATGTAATTAACTCAGCTATAGTTTAAAATAAGTATAGCCAGTTTTCTAGCCAGTTTTTGCTAAGCCTATTTTTCTCATACTTTTAATGTTTGAGTTTTTTTTCTGTTTTGTCCTTTACAAGAACTACTCTAAATGCAATTATCTGCCCAGCCTACAGCATCTCCCTCCCTTCTCTCCCCCTTCCCTCTATCCAGCCTTCAGTCCTCCCTGTTGAAGGACAGCCCTACCTGTATCTGAAGGAGGAGCCCCTGCTGAAGAAGACAGCTTTTGCCTTTGGCTTAGGCTGGTCAGACAGTCTGAAAAAGGTGTGGTACTCCACACATATCTTCCAGAAGTTCTTACATTCATCTCTGCTACCCAACAAGAACTCTAGCGTGTCCTGGTAGGGTCCCTAGAACAAAATACAAAGGTTCAGGAAGCAAACACAACAATAAAATCCTACAGAAGAGAAAGCAGGTTCTGGAAGCAGATCCTGATACAGGAAGCTTCAAAACCAGAAATTAGAGCCAGACATGGTGTGTCATGCCTTAGACAACTACAAATTACAGTTTTGAAGCTCACAAATATCAATAAGATGAAGCCACTGCTGTCCTACAAATGAAATTCTGAGTTCTAAGACCTTGTGCATTTTGAACCTTCAGTTTATGTTACCAATTCACTTTGATTCTTCTACTTAGTCTTAAAGTTAGGTGTTTAGAGATTCAAACGTGACTTTAAAACATGCCATTCCGGTAGCTGCTTTTGTAAACTGTAGTATTTTTCTTCTACCTTCCCAGGAACACATCTACCTTCTAAGAAACACTTACAGAGAAAAGGGAAGCCTTTGATTTGCACCTTTTCATCTAGAGAGAGTAGAGAACTATTTAAGTAATAAACATCAGATCACCCTTTCTTTTGTTGGGGCCTGTTGGCATGGGACTATAATCACAGCACTTGGGAGTCTGAGGCAGGAGAATCAGGAGTCTGAGGACAATCTGCCTGATACTATCTCATAAAAAGTAACAACAAAAACGGCCAAACCACCAACAAAGCAAATACACAGACACACACAGACAGACACTTTCAAGGCCCTACTAAAGTCAATATCACTCCATACTTCATGTGAATGTGGGATTGGACAAAAGCCCCATGTGCTTCTTGGGGGCTTAGACAGAGACATTCTTCTGGCTGGTCCAAGAGCTTTGACTCTCCTGGGACTGGAAGTATCTTCAAGGCCACCCAGGCAGCATCTCAAGCTCCAGCTTTCCATGGCCTTGCTGATCTCCTGTTTCCTAACTTCCTCTGAACACTTTTAACTACTTCAAGTATTGAATTTACCAGATGATCATACTACACAGAGTTACTTTTTCTATTTCTAATCATTCAGTGAAACAGTGGTTATCAGCTTGTCAGCTGTTGCTGATTGACATCTCTGAAAAAAGGATGTTTTGATTAGACTGATCTTGCTATATAAACTAGGCTCATTTCAAATTTCATAATTCTCCTTCCATACTTCCTGAGTGTTGGGATTAAAAATAAGTTATTATTTCTTATTATTTGATTATTTATAATAAAAAATTATTCAATCAGACCTAGACAGGGGTCAAGGTGTTTTTTTTGTTTGTTTGTTTTTAGTAATGCGTGCTTCTCTGTGTGTGCCTACATGTACGTGTGTGTACCACATGCGTGCAGTCTGTGGAAGAGGTCAGAAGAGGGATTGGACCCCTTGAAACGAGAGGTACAGACATTAGTGAGCCACCATGCATGTGCTGAAACTGAGCCAGGTCCTCTGCAAGTGCAGAAAGTGCTCTTAACCGCTGAGCCATCTCTCTAGACCCCAGAGATAATTTTTTAAATTAAAAGCACCTGGGAAGAAGGGGCAGGCCCTTTAGCTCTGTCTGGGCAGAAGTGCGAAGTGCTCACTCAGCATTACTGAAGGGTTCAGATTGCTTTCAACAGGCGTCTTCCTAGGCCCAGCCCAAGCCTGATGAGTTGATGAGCTCCTCCACAGGGTCAATGAACTTCCTGTCTCTGTGACCAGCGTACTGAGATTCCAGATGTGTGCCCCAATTTTATATCAATACTTTAAAAACAACTTTTAATATTCTGTCAATTAAATTGCCTAACAATATTAAATATTCCAAAATACTTACATGGACCTCCGGGTGGAGTTTGATAAGAAACCTTTTCCTCTTGAAACTTAGTTTACGGACCTTGGACCAGTTAAAAGTATTGATTTTGGTGATACCCTGAAATATCAAAGACAGACATACAGCAGCACATTTATGATGTAAGTACATACTCTTTTTCTCACATAGCAGAATCTGCCTAAGCCACATTCTGGATAAGCAACCCACTAATACAAGTGATGTGTTAGCATTTCACCTAGAACAGACCTAAATCCAAACACCAACATCAAATAAACTATTTTGCACTGGTGCATTTCAATTTCTTTGATACAGTTTTATTTATAAACTTGGGTCCTCTGCAAGAACAGTATACACTCTTTTACAACTATATTTATTTTGATTGTTTTTAAATTATGTGTTTTTGTGTGTGTGCATGGGTGTAAGTGTCCACAGATCCCCCTTGGGGTTGGTGTTACAGTTGTGAGGCATTCAATGTCAGGACCTCTGAAGAACAGTAAGTGCCCTGAACCACTGAACCATCTTTCCACCTTCTTAGGCATGGCTGTGGTCCCCAGAAGTGCTCTTAAGCACTAGGCAATCTTTCCAGTCCTATAACTTTTTTTTTAGAGTTTCATTGTAAAGCCCAGGATGGCCTGGAACCCGTTAGGACAGCTTTGAACTTTCTCAGTCTTCCTGCTTCTGGAGTATGATTTACAGGTGTGACCCACCGTGCCCAGCTCCATTTTGTTATTCCATGTTGTTATCCCATTTTGTCTTTGTTTTTAAATTACACAATTAATTTTTGGTGTGTGTGTGTGCACCCACATGTCACAGTGCATGTGTAGAGGACAGAGAACAACTTGTGGGTGTTGGTTGTCTCCTCCCTCCATGTGGGTCCTGAGGATTGAACTAGGGTCATTAAGGCTTGGTAGCAGCAGCCTTTATCAGTTAAGCCATCTGGCAGGCCTAGTCCTTTTCTAAGTTTGTACCTGTTGTTCTACCTTTATTTTTCCCAAGCGTCCTGATTTGTTTGTAGGGTAAATGTTTTCTCTATACTAGTAACCGACTCACAAGGCTCAGAGCCTGAAGTAGCAGCATGACTTCACAGTAAAACTTCCCTGTCATTCTTGACTGAGAGCCTGGCAGCTGCAATTACCCTTTGGAGGACCTGTAAAATCACTGATTTAACTTGTATGGAACTCTGTGTGTGTGTCTATGTGTACATGTGTGGTTGTGTGTATGTGTGCACGCGTGCGTGTGATATCCCCACAAACAACAGAATACTGTATAGAGTTTTAAATCTTTCTACAGATGAGTATTTCATGTATGAGGACCTAGAGAGCATCCATTCCCAATGTGGAGCTGTCCCACAATATAGAAGTATATAATTTGTTTAAATGGACTTCTAATGGTTATTCTCTAGGATTTTACTGTTACAAATAAGATTAGAGTAAAAATTACAAATTTTTACTGCAACTGCTCTTACATCTCTGATGAAACTTTTGTGCTTGCTAGAATCTAATAGGCGAAGAGCCACATCCTCCTAAGGTTTTGTTCTGTCTTTCCATCCCTTCCATTTCTGGTACTGGCTGTTTCTTCTATGCAGTCTTAGTACCTGCATTTTGCGGCAGACTTCCTCAGTTGCCTGTGACTCTTTGCTTCCAGGCATACATTTAAAAGTGCCAGGATTGTGACTTTATAGGTGAGGAGTTGGTGAAAGTCATCAATTAATGCTAAATCAAGAGGAAATCTGAAGAGGTACGGCTGACTGTGTGGTTATAAAGTATGTCTCAACTGAAAGAGACCAACAACTAATTCTGTAGTAGAAAGTATCCGAGCACACACAAAACCCTGCTATAACACAAGGAGTGCATTCCCTCTGTCTGCTAGCTGGGCTGCAACTGCTCTTCATACAGAAAAGTCAGGCTTCCTGTTTTCAGACACTCTGTATCTAACTCTGAGCTCCCTGTCATCAAATGCTCTCATAGCCCAGCAGAGTTCTTACCCTCATTATGTCCACAGCCCCCCACCCCGACCTCAAGGTCCTAAGTCCTGGTTTAGGACCCTAGAGATTGATTCTGGTTCAACATTAGAATAAACACTGAGAAGGGAACAGATACCTTGGCTTGTGGTCAGCCTTGGTGGTATTGGGGGCCATGAACCTAGTTTTACTGTGCCAGAGAAGGCTAAGACAGCAGCTTCCTCACTGTTAGACATCAGATCAGATGATATACTAATTTTCTCTTCCACACACAGTGCTGCTGTCTTTCCCACTCATCACAGCAAAACCTACCAACAAATACAGCAACAACAAACCGTACCAATTCACTGTGCACTAGAATGGTCTGCTCTGGCCCCTCCCTGTCCTTCCTACCTGGAACACGAGGACACCCATGTGAGAAACTGCCAGATTGATCTTGGTCCCTTCTCTGTCAGAAGCCATGTGAAACCTGATGCCATACATTTCCAGCTTCCTTGCGATCTCCAGAACCTGGAAATCTGACTCTGCAGGTGTCTGGCCCCTAAAATGAAGGGCATTTTAACATATCAAAATACTTGCCTTCTAAAAAAGTTAAAGCATATTAGAAAGTGTATCAGAAAAATGGTCAGACAGAGCCAGCCAAAAAAATCAGTGTGGAAGATTTCGTTTTTAAGAGGGCAGATGGCTCACTTCTATGTATGTACTCACTACAAACCAACATAAAACATGTGCAGGCCAAGACAATAGGTTCCTTCTATGTTAGCCTTCTAATTTCCTATTTTAATCTACTTACAAAAGATAGAATATTTCATTTAAATTCACCAAAGATCAGTTTTACAACTTACTTGATGTTATATGCAAACAACCTATCTAGCTACCAAATAGTGAGTTGGAGGAAGTGTCATACATGACACTGGTATCTTTATTATCATTGCAAAACAACTGGATTTATCCACATAAAGGTCTCCTAACATGTAACATGCTATGCAGTCCATAGCCTAGGTTACAGCACCAGAAAAAGAGGTAAGCATGGCCAGTATCCCATTAAACAACCTTCAGGAAGTGATACTCCCATAAAGTCACATATGGAGGGGCTGGAGAAATGGCTCAGAGGTTAAGAGCACTGCTTGTTCTTCCAGATGATCCTGAGTTCTATACTCAGCAACCACATGGTGGCTCACAACCATCTACAATGAGATCTGGTGCCCTCTTCTGGCATTCAGGTGTACATGTAGGTAAAGCATTGTATGCATAATAAAATAAATAAAACCTTTAAAAAAAAGTCACGTATGGAGCGAAGAAAGGCCCCAAGCTCAGGGCCTGAACCCTGAATGTGAGATTCCCCCTCCTTACGTTGATAGAGCCACACTGGGTGCTGTATTTTCTGAGATGAGAGAACATCTCTCATTGTTATTTCAGATCAATTTCTGCAGAAGCCTGAACAGCAGCTCATGGTTTAACATCCTTAATGTAGCTATAACTGCATTACCCCACTCTTGACCAACTTACGTGTGCCTCTGATGGAAGTCTAGTATCTTTTCCAGGGATTGCTCCTGGTTGGGCAAGTACTCATTGGCTTTGAGGTGTTCTCGATCCAAGGTTTCATCGTAATCTCCTATTTCCGCTGAGATGAGACAGTGAAAATAGTCACTTGGATTTTGAAATAAATAAGTATTTGTGCATGCAAATGTTTTATATTTTATTTTTCCAAATATTATGCCATTCAAATGTAAACACAAGAAAAGATTTGGGATTTTTCCCTCTAATTCCTGAAGACCAAAAATTCTGATGAGAGTTTACAATGAAGCCCGAGTATAATGACTTACTATCTTTATTTCACTTTTTAAATGATTTTTAAACATTTTATGTGTATGAGTGTTCTACCTGCATGTTATGCACCATGTGAGGAAGAGCTTGAGGAAGTCAGAAGAAAGCATTGTCCTCTTGGACCTGGAGTTGCAGATGGTTAGAGCCACCATGTGAGTGCTGGGAACAGAGCCCATGGCCTCTGCGTGAGCAGCAAGTGCCAGCTTATTGGTTTTAAAAATTATTTTACACATAAATTGTCGCATGGATACTATGACCACGATAATTATTTACGAATTTTAAATAGATTTGTCTTTATTTTATGTATATGAATGTTTTGCCTGCACAAGAGTGCATGCACCATGACATGGCCTCACCGTTAGTCTAGACACAATGTGCGTTCTTCTCATTCTATTCCCATGGCTGATGGCTTCCTACGTCCCTAAGGCATGTACTCGCACGTGGAGTCTCTCCGAAGGCTTCTCACAGTTTACTTCTGCAGTAAGTTTACTTTTTATATCCTTCTCCATTATCTTTGTTTCATATAAGATACTAAAGGAATAGGTTCTCTTCCCTTTAGTGTTAATGTTTAGATAGTTAGGCCTATAACTCACCCTTAAGAGGCCCTTATCTGGGTGTGCTAAAAATTTGATTTATAGCCTGAACTTGGATTGAATATGTATTGCTGTTAAATTGGATAAAGGCAGATGAAGCACTGAGGCAGAGATCAGTTTGGGGTACAGTGAATCCCAGGCCAAGCTGAGTTGTTTAAAGTATAAACAAAACCAACAAACCATCCAGGGGCTGGTTCTGTGGCTCAGTGATGGAGTGTCTGCCTAGCATGTGCAAAGCTCTGGTTCTTTCCCAGTGCTGGGAAGGGAAAAGAGAAAGCATAAAGACATAAATCAGAGACAACTCTAAAGAATGAACATAACTACAAGTTTGGCTTTGAGTGTACATGCAGAGCTACTGTACATTACAGAAGTTAGCTTTATCTGGAATACATCTAAGATATACATATCAAGAATTTATCTAAAGAAACACCTATTTAAAAAAATAGGCTTATCAATTAGGCAAGAGCAGTAGCAACTGATGGCAGTTCTGTGGTGCCTGAGCCCAGGACTAGGTCTGTCTGAGCTCCTCTCCATGGTGAAGATACTAACACTGTAGGAGGTGGGATATGAGAAGGGCTGCCGTGGTGGCAGAGCAGGTCAAGCGTTCTTCCAGGAGGTCTCTCTTGAGTTGCAAGGCAAACAGGTACCTAGAAAGGAATTTAAAGCAGGAGAGGATCAACTCCAAAGTTCTCTGGATATAATGTAGACATGCTTCTACAAAAGAGCACACAGCTCCGGGAAGTGGCAGCACTTGACACTGGACAAAATGCAGGGCCTCCTGAGAACAGGCCAAGTCACAAAAGCCCTTTCACATAACAAGCAGATACAAAGGTCAGATCACAAATCTCTTCAGCCGACTGAGCCAAGCACGTCAGAGCATGTACAAAGTGCTCAGCACACAGAGGGACCTCTGTCTGACAACAAGATAGGAAAAGCAGCCTTTTCAGGCATACCACTGACCCACATGATCATATTCTCTGAGGCAGTACCTTCAGCAAGGAAGTACATAAATTCATATTACAAAACTGCACTCATGGTTTTGGGTGAAAGAACAGAAATACACAAGACAGTTTCAAATGTACCTGTGATACTTTTAAGCAAATATTATACTTCTTACAATATTTCGTCTTGGTTAGGATCTAAGACACAAGGGCTTTAAAATACCACTAGTGAAAATGTAAATAGAGAAGGTAATTTGAAAGGCATTTATGAGGTCAAGCATGGGAACACTGCAGCACTTAGGAGCAGAGGAGGGTGGATCTCTGTGAATTTAAGGCCAGCCTGGTATACATAGTGCATTTCAGGAAAGCCAGAACTACATAAATAGTAGGCCCTGCCTATAGATAGATAGATAGATAGATAGATAGATAGATAGATAGATAGATAGATAGATAAACGAGAAAGAAAAATATATCTTCATTTATTCCTTCAATAAGTGATGATGACTGACTAGTTCTTTCTCAGTATTGTTCCAAGAGCTGTAAAACTTGGTGAATAACACAAACTCCATCTTCATAGAAATTTACACTCTGGAACAGATTATTAAAATTTTGCTAGAGCCAGGCACAGTGGCACATGCCTTTAATCCCAGCACTCAGGAAGCAGAGGCAAGTGGATCTCTGTGAGTATGAGGCTAGACTGGTCTATAGGACAACCAAGGCTACACAGAGAAACCCTGTCTCCAAAAAACCAAAAAAACAACAACAAAAAAAAAAAAAAAAAAAAAAAAGAAAGAAAAATTTTTACTGGATTTGGGAATGGATAGATTGCTCAGCAATTAAGAGCACTTGTTCTTCTGGAAGAGTAGGGTTCAGTTCCCAGCACCCACATAGTAGCTCACAACTGTCTGTAACTCCAGCTCCAGGTGATCTGATGACTAGGTGGTCACCACGCACACACATTGTACCCAGAAATTTGTGGATGCATTAGTGTATTTAAAAAATTACTACGTTTAAAAAAATCACATTAAATTTACTACATTCTCTTTTTTTGAAAAGCAAAATTGAATACTCTGTGAACTTGCCTATCATCCTTGTATAGATGCCATGCTAATCTCTGTATTTTTCCAATTTCAGTATACTCGCAGCTAAAAGAAGCACCTGCATTCTCTTAGAATTTAGGATGTGTGTGCCCTTTAACTAGGCAGTTCCATGCTAAAAACTTCTCCACAGCTGCACTCCCAGAGTCCACAAAGGCATGTCAACAATGACACTTTTTTGTGATATTTTAACAGAAAAACTGGGAACAAGCCCCAAATGCACTAAGATATTAATGACTAAGTAAGTAAGTGCCAGTCTACACACAGTGTACAAAGGCCATGGAATGCCATAAGTGGGAGATAGCTTCAGGTAGAACTCTCGATACTGCTTTGCAATGTAATTTCCTTAAGGCTCTATGCTGTGTTCACTGCGAGGCTTCAACTCATAGCAACACTTCTGCAGTGTTAGTACTCTGTAGGGAGTGGATAGGTGGGCAAGGACAAATAACTTTTGTTTTTATTTTACATAACTTCATTTGAAATTTTCTTCTTTAGCCACAGATATAGTTTTTAATAAATAAAAGGGGAAAAGACCTTCTGAATGAAAATAAGAAGGAAATAACTGACCTACTAGGGCTGAGGGGTTGGTAGAGCTGTTACCAAGTGCATAAGGCCCTGAGTTCCATCTCTAGTAACACACAAACAGGTGGTGTGGCCAAAGCCTATATTCCTGACACTCAGGAAGTGGAAGCAGAGGATTGGAAATTCAGGGTTATCCTCAGCTACACAGCAAGTTAAAGGTCAACTTTAACTGTAAGAATCTTTTTCATCAACCACAAAACAAAAACAAAACAGACTGCCCCAAACCAACTTGAACCCTAATACAAACCAACTTGAACCCTAATAACCCTAAAAGTGAGAGACAGATTCTTCTAACTATCCAAGTTTTATTTTCAAGTTTAATGCATAAGTCCTCATATTTGTGTCTATGTAGGAAACATTTGCTAAGATGCTTCTTCTAACTACATTTACTAGTATTTACTCATAACCCAGCTCATTTATTTATTTGGGAATGTGCCATACAACATGCACGTGAAAGGTAGAAGAGAACTTGTGAAAGTGTTTCTCTTCACCCACCATGTGGGTTCTGGGGATTCGGGTCAGCAGGCTGGGCCACAAGCACCTTTACCCACGCTGAGACATCCCAACTGTTCTCATTCATTCATGTGTGTGAAAGAGAGGGAGGGGGATAGGTTATTGCACTAAAGATAACCTCAGAGGAACCAAAATGTGTCGCTGTTGCATTAAGGAATGATAACAAAGTGCTTTTTTTTGTTTGTTTGTTTTAATTTGACCAAGGCAATCCCATTTGAATTCTCTACTTTTCTCCCTGTGTCTTCCATCTGTATGCAGCTATGGTTGATGGCCTATCTGTGTTGATCTGCTGTTATATATATTTGTGCCTGCCTGAATGCTGCATAATGTCTGATTGTTCCTTAGGTCTGTCTCTCCACTAACAAAGATCTGAATTATTTATTTAACTACACAAAAACCACAGCACAGGAAAGGTATAGTAGTCTTTAACAGAATTCTACAAGGGGAGTCATTTCACTGACCCCCAACTCACTCAGACAATAATATCCCTCTCTTGATGCCAACATTTTTGGTGAATGTTCATTTCTTAAGGTTACTTCTGACCTGTTGGTTGCTTTTAGTACCACAACACACAACACACATACATATACATATGTTATTCTGGGTTAGGGGCATGGGAGAGTACATAACTGAAGCCATTAATTAGCTTAGGTTGTAAAAGCTGATTGCATGGGAAATCCAAGGCAAGGTTCATTGTTATGGTGTTCTCTTAAAGACAGGCTAAACTTATGAACTGTGAGCAAGCCTGTGGTATATTTTCTTGATTAATGATTAATGTACGTGGTACATCCCAAAGAGCGAGGGATTGCAAAACAGGTTGAGCAAGCCATGAAAAAGCAAGTGAGTAAGCAGCATTCCTCTATTTCAAGTCCTAACTACAGCGTTCTGCCTTGAGTTCCTACCCTGACTTCCCCCAGTAATGGACTATGACCTGAGAGGTGTAAGAGGAAACGAATATTTTTCCTCCCCAAGTTGCTTCCGATCATGGTGTTTTCCTACAGCAGTGAAAATTCTAACTAAAACAAAGATAAACCTCATGTGATCTCAAAATATATCATTAACTTGGCTGTAAGATCCAGCAAAAAGCTCAATCTCCTTATATGCAAGAAATATTTTCATAAAATAGTATCACTAAGATAGAATATCATACTATCTTTCGAAAGAAAGAAAGAACGTTGTGAAAATACAGCCCAAGCACAAACCGTGGCAATTAGGAGCACAGCTTCATTCTCCCAACCACAGATGATTGACAAGGTCCCTGACTAGTGGGTGCTTTACCTTGTGCACTCTTCTTGCAGCTGGCCAGGGTCAGGTGGGAAAAATTTTACGGCCAGGCGAAACGCCACATTCTTTGGCTCTGTAAAAATGAAATAAATAAAATTTCACAGATAAGGTTAATTATCATATTTCTTTTCTTTCTATAATAAAACAGTAAAGACACTTCCTATGCGCACACTTAAATGAGTCCTTAACTATCAATCACATGTACTGGGGAATTTCAATATTTTGTTTTAAGCAGAAATTAGTTAGAAATAATTCTTTAGTTAATCTCGGTTAGTTCCAGGCTAGCCTGGTCTACGTATCAAATTCTAGGCCATTTGGGGTTACATAGTAAGATATAGTGAGTTGGTAATGTGTGTCTCTAGTTTGGACGAGGCACTGGGTTCTATCCCCAAGACCACATAAAAAAACCAGGTGTTGTGCACATGCCTGTAATCCTAGCACTGGAGAGGTAGAGAGAGAAGGACCAGGAGTTCAAGTCATCCTTGGATACACAGCAAATCTGAAGCCAGCCTGAATTACATGAGATTTTCCCCCAAAAGTAAAATTAAATTATAGCCAGGTGTGGAAGCTCATGGGTGTAACCCCAGCACAGGGTGTGTGTGTGTGTGTGTGTGTGTGTGTGTGTGTGTGTGTGTGTGTG